GTGGAGGTGACATCAAGATACCATTAGCCAAGTGCACACATATCTCAGAAAGGCGACTTCTCCTCCTTCCCCCGGGGGAGCTGTTCCCACTTACGGACTGCTTTGGAGTCGGTGAAATGTGGCCAGTCTATTATTGCCCCTGCATTAAAGGGGAACCATAACTCAGCCAGCTTTTGATAAAATAGCACTTATCCTGGGAAGGGAGCTCCTATTACCGTTTATCAAGCCCCTGAAATCGGAGCTAAGGAGTCAGAGTTTATATTATCCGTCATCCAAATTAATGCGGTTGGCTTCCAATCTCCCAGTAAGGCCGAGCGAAACGAGTGACTAAATCAATAGAAAACATATTGCTGGCTTTAAAACTGCCAAGTGATAACCAAAAATACACCTGTCGGCTGTGTGGCAATGAGCAAAGGGATCCATCTGTCAGGCAGCAGCATCCAAATGGACATGGTGCCTTCCCTCAGCCCCACACCCGAGCAGCACAACTGGAACACCCCCTGTGTTGAGGGAGAGCAGGAGAGGGAGGCAAAGCTATGCTGGCTGCCCTCCAAACTGATAGACTGCCCCAGCCAAAGGCTTGCAAGGCAGCCAACACCTTGGCTGGGATGTTATGCTTGTATGTGAGACTTTGCTTTGAAGCAGGTCCAGAGCAGCATGAGATGTGCTGGTCTCTGGAGCAGTTGCAAGAGTTCACGCTCTCTTATCAAGCAAGGCCTCACTGATCGGGGGGTGGGGTGGGGTGGGGAGGAGTCTTATGACTTTGGGGGTGGAGGGAGAGCAAGAGTATCTTCTTTTGCAAGGTCAGCCCTTTTGCTCAGGGCAGACGCAGGCTCTCTCTCACTTATGAAAAGATCATTGCACTGGTTTTATGCACTGCACTGCACACACCTGAGTTTAAGGCTGTTACTTCATGGCTGTCCATAGATGATGGGCACTCTGTCACTTTGAAGTAGAGGCCCTAGGGAAGGAAGAGATATCCCCTCACCTCACCTCACCCCCCTTCACAGGTTTGCCAGGACTGGCTAGTCACCTTTCTTCTTCACACATCTGCTGTTTCTTTCTCTCTGTGGGACAGATGCCGACGTGAGGTGCTACGTGAAATCCTAGCCTGGCTGGAGTCAATGACAAAACTCCCACTTGCTTCAAATGGGGCCAAGATTTCAACCTCTGCTTCTGATACAGTGGTGGATGGGACCTACCTTAAGTTTCTGGAGGAGATGGGTGCTACCCCAGGGACTCATCTACTATGAACAGGTGAGAAAGGCCGGGGATCCTAATCACACAGCATGGTCCAGGGGCATGAACATCCACTGGGAAGCCAAGAAGCAGTTCCAACACCAATTCCTCTTCCTGTGGTTTGGACAACTGACTTCCTCTCTCAGTCTCAGCTTCCCTGCCTGTGATAGAGTACGCATGTTCCCTGCAGGAGCTCTGTGAGATGCTATTAAAATAACTAATAATTTGCAATGAGCTACGTAGGTTCCCAGCACTAGACAAGCAGTGCTATTCATGCTGGCACAGCACTCCAGTGCTTTACAGAGAGTGTGGCTTTGCAAGTCCAGGTCTTCGTGGTAACAAATGAGTCGAGAGGCAGCAGAGTTCAGGGTTATTATGCAATCTGATCTTTAAAAACCTGCTTTCAGCACACTTCCATATGGTGTGTAAGCCTCCCTCTTTTCAAGCAGCTCCTCTCTCCTGCCTGCTGTTGGTTCCACTGGTTATGGGAAAACAGCAAACCTGGTAGAAAGGTGAACCGGGCATCTCAAGTGCACTGGCAGACCTTCAAAGCAGAAGCATTTGGGGTTCCACGCACGAAGGAGAGGTCCTTGAGCACAAACTCTGCAACATGGTTCAAATGGAAGCCAGACTACATCAAACTGATTCATCTACACAGTGAAGTACAAGAGCAGCAGAAAACTTGCGTGGCCTGGAAAAAGCTGGGGATCAACTGTCCTGTTGAGGCCATGAATCCCAGGGAGCGAGAGTGAAGAACATACGCCAGGAGGGGCTGGACATCACACCCCAAAAAGGCACCAACCACAAGACGTGTCAGAGTATCCAGTTCCTTCAAGGTGAAGCTATATTCCTTGCACTCAGCTTGGCAACAGGACAATAAATTACTCTACAGGGCTGCTCCCTGTATGCAGTTATTTATCATCAAGGAAGCCAACTGGCTGAGCACCAGCAATCATTTCTTCTAGCAAGTAAGGCATTTTGCAGCAAGGGATGCTGCTCCTTGTCTAATAATTAGGCCAGACCTGAGCACTCTTGGCTGACAACAGCAGAAGCGTCGCTGCTCCTGCCAGACAACTTTTTAGCAACAACCAAGATCAAATTCCAACAAATTCACTTTCCTCAGTGGATTTCTCCCTCGTTTTTTTTTTGCTTGAGCAAGTGAAATTTCATTGCTGCAAACAAGAAACGTCTGTCCGACCCCAAATCAAAGATGGTGCTTGCACTTGCCAAGCTGAGGTTTGCTGCCTTGTAGAGGTGGTCTGTTCGTGTTGTGCTTGCATTACAACCCTGCAAGGCTGGATCAACACAATGCAATGGTTTGTCAAAATCTTGGCTGGCCAAATTGTGACAGATCCATATCTTCCCACTTTGACCTCAAATCTTAATCATTACAGGTCTTTTCCTTCTTTTTGTGAGGGCCTGTGGCAAACCGTTTCCTGCAAATACCGCTTGCAATGTGCGTCATGGTTCTGCGTGGTACTGAGACAGCTGCTGTCCCTCCAGATGAAGATGAGAGCAGCACCTGTGCAATCCTAGGTGGATGGTGCCTCAGAGCTGCTTCGACATTCACCTGCTTGTAACGAGGTGGGAAGACATTACCAGCACCTGGCAGCTAGAGGAACGCTCCTCCTTAGCTTGAAACGACAAGCTGCGAGTTCTGCTCCTCGGGGGACCCATGGGTGCTTCAGTGACGGCAGCGGTGCCTCTCTCTGTCGCGCCACATATCAGTACCCACAGGTCCTGCTGTCCATGAGATGAGTGGCCTCTATTTAAACTGCATTCAGGATCCAAACTTTTATGATAAAAGCCCTAGGACCAATTAAGCCAGACTCCTCTTGTAAAAACACAGGTGTTTTAAAAGCGCCAGCCAGTCAGGGGGCCGGCGCGCAGACTTTCAACAGAAATTGACTTTGACATTGGAAATAAAAATGCATTTACCGGACAACACCATCAAGAGTTCCCAACTCTCCTTAACCGCGATCCCCAAGCGCTCAGCCTAATGCCGCTGACGCAGCTCTGCCGGCAGGGAGCTCAGAACTGCTCATTAGGCAGCCAGGCTGCAGCGGAGCTATTCCAAGGCAAAGGCATCAAGCATCTTTACAGGAAGCTTTGGCTTCCAAGCTGCAGCATTAGCATTGATTGTAAATGAAATAATGGTCCCTGCTGAGCATTAAAAGCATTCTTTATAAAAAGCAAAAGCCAGGTAGCAAAGAACAGCTGAACCTGATGCCCTGGCACAGCACCAGGCCCTCCAGCCTTGTAATGAATGGCGGGAACGTTAATGAAGGCAAACTTTGCACCCTCAGAGGTCGACGCTGTTCCTGGATTTGTTGTAGGTTCAGTGCGACCTGATGTACTTTCTAAAAGAACGAGGTGAATTAGCTATGCCTGCCTGGTTCTGCTCCGAGATGCTATTAGGAGTCTGCTAGGTTGAAAGCTGCAGAGGACAAAGAGCCGTCTCCTTCCCTCCCACTTGCACATACCCACTCACCTTCTTTGTCACCAACTGCAGGACTCCTGCTCTTCCCTCTGGGGCTACTGCCGGGCTGCAGTGGCTCCTTTTCAGGTTGCTGCTGTGGCAGCAGTGGCTGGGGTGGCTTGCTCTGGGCCACTTCCTCCCGGGAGGACTCGTGAGCTTTCGTGATCTGCTGCTGGTACAGGGCCAAAGCATGGGGAGGCACCTGAGACTTCAGGCTTCCACTCTGCAGCACCCCTTCCGGGAAACCCTCCGAAATCTGCAGGGGGAGCAGAGGCAGGGAGAGGAGAAAAGGGACATGTCGTACCATCTGCTCTTCACTTTCCGAGCCGAGTCTCCAAGGAGGCTTCGCTCCAAAAAAACCCAAGACCTCAGCGTCTTTCCGAGGAGGCTCTGCCTCAGCCCTGCAGCCACTCAGCCGAATACCTTATGCTCTGCTCCCAGGGTCCCTCAGCAACCCACTGCTTTCCCTCGCACAGGAAGCAAACAAGACAGGGTGATGCAGTGTGTTTATCTTTTGCCACAAGGCTATCAATCTGTTTTGGAAATGCTACGAGGGAACCTCAGATTTGCCTTGTCTGAGGAATGTAATCTATGGCCAAGGAATTGTAGCTTTCGGGAACAGAGGGGTTTCAGTAGGATGGAGGGATCTGCAGTCACGGAACAGATGTTTGGAAGGATGACGTGAACTTTTCCCCTGAAACATCCGTTTTGAACCCGCAA